CAAACGATAGGAGACCCGTTCGAGTTATTTATTATTATTTACAAAAAAAAAAAAAAAAAAGGGGGGTTTGCTATGCTCTGGCGCGTCGCGTCGCAGGAAAAAGGGGACCGTGGAGTCTCCAGGACGTAACAATTAGTTGGTCGGGTAAACTTGGTGAGATCGTCAATCGGCAACAATCTCTCGGTTCGATCGGCTCGTCCGATTTTCCGGAGAAGGGAAAAGGGAGAGTGTTGGTTTTCGATCACGCCACCTAGACCCTTTGCTATTTGTTTATAATAAAGTTTTTGTGGATTATTCGTGGCGTCGGAAATCTATTTGCTCCGGCTGCTCTAAGTTTTATGAGCGGTATTCTTCCTGGCCCGGAGATATCCGGGTTTGTTTAGGATGTTTAAACAATAAGTTTAAAATTTTGAGTTATTACTAGGCGCGGTTTATCTTCTCGGGCGCTAGTGTGATTTTCGTTTGCTCTCCTATCGTCTGGAGTCCAAGTCTCCAAACGATAAGAGGTCTGCTCGGATTATTTATTGCTTTTTATTATTTACTAAAAGGGAAATTTGTTATGCGTTGGCGCGTCGCATTGCAAGAAAAAAAGGGACCGTGGAGTCTCCAGGACGTAACAATATCATAAAAATGTATGTACAATAAATCTGTTCTATATAAACTCTTTATTTTATATATTATATATAAATATGTAATAAAATATTTTATAAACATACAAAAAAATATTTGTAATATATGTAACACATATTTTTATAAATATAATAAAATTGTTTCTATTATAGATTATATAATATTTTCATTATCTGAGCTTTCAGTTTAGATTTTTGAGGTTCTCATGTTTTTTTTAATTGGCATGCAACTGCTTTAGCAAAAATTTCGTCTTCATCTGTGACATCAAAGAACCCAGATAACCAAATCTGTCGAAACAGATTTTGCCAAATGCTTGTTACAAATTTTATTAGCAGAAAGACATCAAATATGATGCAGAGTTTGTTTTGTCTGGCAATGTTGCAAAATTTCTAGCAAAAATATATTCCAGCTTGTTGACAAAACATAACAGTAACTTGCTGGCAAAAAGCAAGCAAAACTGTGTCGTGTTGCGCAGATCTTGCTTCATATTTGGCGTCAATTTGGTCTCAGACCAAAATATGTTTCAATATGTATCAAGTTTTGCTCGGTTTTTGCTAGCAATTTGCTGTTACTTTTAGTCGACAAGCTTTGGCAACAAAATCGAAGCCTAATGCGGACACAGTTGATGCCAATTTGCTGAGTATTTTTGCTTAAAATTGCTGACAATTTGCCGGCAACTTGCGAACAAATTGTTTACTGGGGACATTATATTTTGAGGTTTATTTTCTAAATGCGATAAAACCACTGACGTTAATCTTAAAAACGATTCTTCTATTTTATCTGTTGAGGACGCACGTTTAAGTTTTTTGGTAAATCTTTTTGGTGGATTAAATGACATGCCTGACGAAGAGTCAAGAGATACTGGAGATACTGATTCTTGATTAAGAGAAATTCCTCTATTAGGTGAAAATGTTGCTAGAAAAATTGTCTTGTTTTTGAGTGTTTCTGAACATGCTAACGGAAACAATATCTCATCGTTATTAATTGTTGCATCTGCGCTATACGATGAAAAGAAATCATCATCGCTATCAAATGATTCTGAAGAAAAAAAAAAAATAATATTTGTCTTCAATATTGATATATAAAGAGTCTTTTTCAGCAAGACACCGTGTAACACAGTGTTCACTAGTGTGAATGAGATACACTGATATGCTCTTTCTCACACTAATGAACATTACACTGACTGTTATACTGTGTTTTGCTGGAAAGTATCCAAAATTTACATAATTCTAGATATTTAACTATATTTAATAGGTGAAAGACCAATACGAGTAAACATACAAGATGTTCATATATGAAAACATGATTTATTCCAATATATGATCAGACGTTTTGATTCTTGAGTTGGATATTCTTCAAAGATCAAAACGTATGATTACATATTCCCAGTAAACAATTTCTGACTGCGCAGACCTTAGCAACAGAAACTGTGTGCAGAAATGCTACAATACGGAAACATGCTTTGGTGCTGCAAAAACTGTTAGCACATAGAGACAAAAAACGCAACAACTCTGGCAAATACATGAAAGTATTGCAGCCAAAATGATTCCATATATGTTAGTGAAATTGACAATAAATAGATGGTCGATAGCAAGCAGATCTGCTTTTAGCAATACTGTGACCAAACAGTCCGCAAACCGTACGAGCATCTATTTATGACAAAACGGTGACCGCAGTCGGGTCGATCTATTGAACGCATTGACGACAGATTGCCAGGAAACGCCAAGCAGATCTGTTCGAGCATACGTGCGGACTGTTTGCACGCAAGACTACTAAACTGTTTGTTTGACATCTAGACAACAAAATGGCGATTATCTGCGATCATATCTGTCGCCTGTGTTGATAACAGATTGTTAACAAACATTGAACAGTCTTTTA